CATGGTCCACTCTTGACCTAGCGTCTTGCGGGCTAGAGTGAGACCCTCTCAACCCCACCTTTTAGTCTTGTCTTTCTTTCTCAGTCCTGCAGCACAGGTTTTCTGGACCTGATCGATTGTCGGCTGGCTCCGACAAAAATCCTCAACAAAATACTAGCAAATCAACTCCAACAATGCATTAAAAGGATCGTATACCATGATCAAGTGGGATTTATTACAAGGATGCAGGGATTTTTCAATATCCGCAAATCAATCAATGTGATATACCACATTAACAACTGAAGAATAAAACGCATGTGATCATCTCAACAGATGCAGAAAAAGCTTTCGATAAAACTCAACATCCATTTATGAAAGCTCTCCAGAAAGTGGGCATAGACAGAACACACCTCAACATAATAAAGGCCACATATGACAAACCCACAGCTAACATCTAATAGGGAAAAGCTGAAAGTATTTCCTCTAAGATCAGAAACAAGATAAGGATGCCTGCTCTCGCCACTTTTATTCAACATAGTTTCGGAAGTCCTAGCCATAGCAATCAGAGAAAAAAAATAAATAAAAGGAATCCAAACTGGAAACAAAGAAATAAAACTGTCACTATTTGCAGATGATGTGATACTATATGTAGAAAACCCTAAAGAATTGACCAGAAAACTATTAGACCTCATCAATGAGTATGGTAAAGTTGCAGGATACAAAATTAATATACAGAAATCAGCTGGATTTCTATACACTAACAATGAAATAGCAGAAAGGGAAATTAAGGAAACAATACCATTTACCAAAGCACTACAAAGAATAAAATATCTAGGAATAAATCTACCTGGGGAGGCAAAAGACTTGTACTCTGAAAACCGTAAGACAATGATGAAGGAAACTGCAGATGAAAGAAACAAATGGAAAGATATACCATGTTCTTGGACTGGAAGACTCAATATCATTAAAATGGCCACATTACCCAAGGCAATATACAGATTCAATGCAATCCTATCAAATCGCCAATGACACTTTTCACAGAACTGGGGCAAAAGATATTAAAATTTGCATGGTAACACAAAAGACCCCAAATAGCCAAAACAATCTTGAGAAAGAAGAACAGGCCTGACTTCAGACTATACTACAAAGCTACAGTAATCAAAACAGAATGGTACTGGCACAAAAACAGACACATAGATCAATGGGACAGGATAGAAAAAGTACAGAAATAAACCTATGCACTCATGGTTAACTAATTAAGGAGGCAAGAATATACAATGGAGAAAAGCACTGCTGGGAAAACTGGACAGTTACCTGTAAAGGACTGAAACTAGGACATTCTCTAACACAATATACAAACACACATACACACATACAAAAACAAACAAAAAACTCAAAATGGATTAAAGATTTGAATGTAAGACCAGATACTATGAAACTCTTAGAGGAAAACATATGTAGAACACTCTTTGACATAAATCACAGCAATATTTTTTTCAAACCAGCTCCTGCAGTAATGGAAATAAAAGCACAAATAAACAAATGGCATCTAATTAAACTTACAAGCTTTTGCACAGCTAAGAGTATCATCAACAAAATGAAAAGACAACTTACAGAATGGGAGAAAATATTTCCAAATGATGTGACTGACAAGGAACTAATTTCCAAAATATACAAAAAGCTCATACACCTTAATATCAAAAAAACAAACAACCCACTCAAAAAATGGGCAGAAGACCTAAATAGATATTTCTACAAAAAAGACATACAGATGGCCAACAGGCACATGAAAAGATACTCAATATCACTAATTATTAGAGAAATGCAAGTCAAAACTACAATGAGGTATCACTTCACACCAGCCGGAACGGCCATCATTAAAAGTCTACAAACAATAAATGCTGGAGAGGGTGTGGAGAAAAAGGAACCCTCCTACACTGCTGGTGGGAATGTAAATTGGTGCAGCCACTATGGAGGATAGTATGGAGGTTCCTTAAAAAACTAAAAGAAGACTTACTGTATGATCCAGCAATCCCACTCCTGGGTACATATCCAGAGGGAACTCTAATTTGAAAAGACACACGCATCCCAATGCTCACAGGAGCACTATTTACAATAGCCAAGACATGGAAACAACCTAAATGTCCATCGACAGATGACTGGATAAAGAAGCTGTGGTATATATACAGTGGAATACTATTCAGCAATAAAAAGGATGAAATAATGTCTTTCGCAGCAACATGGATGGACCTGGCATGGTCATTCTAAGTGAAGTAAGTCAGAAAGAGAAAAATAACCATATGATATCACTTATACATGGAATCTGAAAAAAAAGACACAAATAAATTTATCTACAAAACAAAGAGATTCACAGACACAGAGAACAAACTTACGGTTACCAGGGGGTAAAGACGGTGGGAAGGATAAACTGGGAGTTCGAGATCTGCATCTCTTGGGGAGAGATGGAAATACTAGCTTTGTTGATTGTGGTGGTGGTCTCGTGGGTGTATACAGCTATCAAAATTCATCAAAGTGTACATGTGGAATATGTGTAGTTTACTGGACAGGAACCATATCACAATAAAGGTGTTAAAAGAAAAACTAAAAGCGCCATGAACACTACATCTGCAGGAAAGGTCTGGGAGCCGAGTGCTGACGGGACAGGCTGCTAGATGCCGTGAGGGCACAGGCGCCGCCAGCTGAGTGAGGCAGAGGCCTCAGCCTCGGCCTGTTGTGTCCACACTAGGCTGCAGCCACATGCAGGGGAAGGCCGAGTGGAGCCGAGGAGAGGGGTGGGCACAACCAAGGTGACAGGAGCTCCCTCACTGAACCGCAGAGGCCCTGCTACAGGGCAGGGTGTGTGGGTCCCGCTCAAGGCACCTGCAGCTTGTCCCAGCCCTCTGCAGACGGCGCAGGGCTGCGTCACCCAGAGACCCCGGCAGCACCCAGGCCACCTCGCACAGCTCACAGGAGACAACCACAGCACCATCTGTGGCTCAGAGGGCCCCCATCCAGATAGGCACCTGACGCTCTGCCCAGGGTGGGCCTGTCACCGAGGCCTGGTGACCCCGCAGCCTGGGCCTCACGCCCTGCCCAAGTGTCCTGGCAACATGGGGTGTGAGCAAAGCCAGGTATGGCCATGTACAAAGATGGGTGTGCCCACATGCGCACATTACTCCAGGGCAGAAGAGTAAACTAAGGCTGGACCACAGAGGACAGTTTCCTCAGACAGGAAGCATGTGTCCCAGGCTTGGGCAAGGCCCCAGGGCTAGTCTTGCTCCGAGCACACGGTGCACACGCACCGGCCTGGCAGCACCGCAGGCTGGCATCTCCGCCTGCCAGGAGAGCTGGGCGACCCCCGCACCAGAGATGAAGTGCGTTACCTGGCGCGCAGGCCGCCCCTCAAGCACCTTAAACTCCTCTGCCCACACGTGGTGCGTGGCTTCGCACCCTGATCCCCAGTCATTGCAACTGGGGGTCGGGGGACCACCACTTCATCTCGTCAGCAACTTCACCAGTTTCTAACTAAAACATGAAGCTCTTCTCAAGCACCCCCTCTCAAAGGTCAAACACAACCATCCTTACGGAGACCCTGGCTACCAGGCTTTTACTAACTGGCCGTGTAACTCACCTTCCCTTCGTCGGGAGGCTTCATCGGGACGTTTCTCCTCTGCAAAGCAAGACAGACAAGAACAAGTTTTCTGAAACAATTTTACAAAAGACAGCCCATCACCCACCTGGCCACAGCTCTGAGCTGTCAAGTCAGATCACGTCGTGCTGTGACCCCGGCAGCTCTGCGTGTGACAGTGTGAGGTCGCTAACTTGGCCCACAGGGGCCTGGTTCCTGAGACCTGGGAGCTGAGGGCCCACAAGACCACCCTGGGACGAGGAGATGGAGTGAGAGCACCCCAACCTTGGGTCCACAGCCCTGGGTGGCATAAAACAAAAGAAAAAAATCAGACATGGTTCACCGGTCCCAGGGCGATTCAGGAAAATCACCCGGCCCGGTGGCTTAACCTGGAGGAGGATTAGCCTGGAAGGTGGCATGCATCTGACCACTACTCTGTGACCACAGCCCACTCACTGCACTGAGCTGCTGGCCTGTAACCTGGCAGGAGCCTGTCCTTAACTCACCCCCGTTCTGTGAACATACCCAGAACAGTCAGCCCACATGCTTCTGTAACTGTGATCTTTCGTTCAAGATAATGTCCCTGAGCTTTGCTTGTGTTAGAAACTTCACAACTTTCAAGTAGAAAAAGTAAACACTACCACTATCTCAACACCTATCTCCTCACGCAAGCTCCCGCCAACGTGCACGTGTCAGTACTGGACGTCATTTACGCGACTCTAATGTGGTTCACGTTCAGAAAAGTGATCAGACTGGAACCTAGAAAGACGGAAGAGGGGTGTGGGCAGAAACTACATCTGAAGAAACAAAGGCCGAAAATCTTCCAGATTTTAGGAAAACCACAAATTGACAGGCCTAAGAAGCTCGGCAAACGTCAAGCAGAACAGACACAAGGACGCACACAGTCACGCACACCGGGACCAACTGCACCGCCAGGCAGGAAGCCACACACTCAGGAGCAGCCAGAGCAGCGGCCGCGCCTCTTCTCCACACGGCTGGAGAGCGAACACGTGGGCTTCGCGGCCCCACACGAGCTGCAGCACCTTCTCTTTTTTTAAATCTTCAAAAAATGTAAAATTATGCTTAGCTCGTGGGCCAGTCTGCCAATCCTCAATCTTCACCAAAAAAGACAAGTTACAAGTGGGAGAGAGAGAAAAGCAACTGCAGACACGTCCTCAGAAACGACGCAAGTCAGACGTCATTGTACGCAGAGGAAAAGACGTCCACCTGGACCTCCACGCCCGGGGAAGACGAGCTTCAAAAATGAAGGTAAAATAAAGACTTTCTTCAGATGAAGAAAACCTGAGCCAATCTGTCCTCTGAGAAACAGCAAAGGAAACTTCAAGACGAGGGACAACGACAGCGTCCGGAAGAAGCATGGCTGCACAGTGACAGGGACCGTGTGCGCCCCAGGGGCCTCGGTACTTGTCAGCTTCCTGGAAGGGTATCTGACCGTTCACAGTGAAGACAAACCGTAAATAACAGCCAGCGAGGGAGGAGCCCCGACCCGCACCCAGGCTGGACGCTCCTCCCACGGGAGCGCCGGGCACAGCCCACCTGCCGCAGCTGGGACAGCATCCGAGAGTGGTCTCCGCCCGTGATCTGGTCCAGGAGGTCGTCCACCATCTTCCTGCTGTAGCTCCCTGCGCCCTTCACAAACTCCTGCAGGCTGGGGGCCGCGAGAAGACGGGGCCGGGGGGGGGGGTGTCAGGGCCCCACATGCCATCCCAGCCGCATGCCCCAGACGTCCCTCCAAAGGGGAGCTTCTCCCTGAGCCACGGCCCCCCCTAGATGGAGTGGTTTTGGAGAGTGCACAACAGTCTTCACCAGATTTTCAAAGTGGCCCCCGACCCAAAAAACCTATGAACATCTCGAGAAAAACCTGGTAAAAATAAACCCAAGTGAAGAAGAGTGTATTCGCACACAGATGTACCTCATGCTAACCTCACAACAGGAGCGTTTCCACACCTGTTTGTTTTGGTTCTAAAAATGCAAGTAGACTGAGAACACAGTGTGGGGGCCACATGGGGAGGGCAAGGGAGTAAGACCCTCCCCAACACCTCTCAGAGCTGTTCCGACTTCCAAAAAACCAAACTACAACTAACTAGAGCGTTCAGAGAGGACGCGGCAGACAGGCCCCGTCCCAGCAGCGCAGCCAGGCGAAGGCTCTGAGCGGCTCCCACACAGAGGGAGGGCAGCAGCGCACCCAGGAGCAAAACCAGCCCGGGCGCCTCGGCTAGGAGCTCCTCGGACAAAGCGGCCAGGGCTGGCGGGAGCAGGCACTGCGGTGGGGTGGGGCGGGGTCCCTGGGGCCCTTAAAGAGCCACGAGCAGGTGGCAGGCTCACAGGGAGCAGCAGGAGGACCATGACGCCATCCTGTCCTTGGCTCCCCGCTGTCACCTCTTCTCACACACGGGGCCCAGCCTGGGTTCCGCCTACTGTCAGCGAGTGGCGCACCCCCGTGTGTTTCTCAATCACATTCTGCACTCTTTTTGGAGTAAGATGCAGATCTAACAAGGACAGATTCCATTTCTTGAAGAGAATAGCAAAGCTGTTACTTTCCCCACAGAAATTACTGCAACTCTGCAGGAGTGATTCATTTCTACTTTGTCACAGAAAACAATGCAAGAGTTCCCCAGAAACGCAGTGCTACGTCTATGATCTTAATTTGACACCTTAGCCAGTGAGTTGCTGAACTGTCCCCAAAACTCCCCCAGTGAAGCCCTGACCCCAAGTACCTCAGGATGTGACCACCCTTGGAGACAAACCCTCTACGGGTGGTAAGTTAGAATGGCGTCTTTACAGGAAGGAAGTGGGGACAGGGACTTGCGGAGGGACGGCCACACCGGAACCCAGGGAAGAGCGGTGCCCTCAGGCCAAGGACCAGGAGGTCCAGCCCAGACCCCTAGTCTCGGACTCCAGCCTCCTGGACGGGAGATGGTGACTGGTCTGAGCGGCCAGCCATGGAGCCTTGTCTTGGCGGCCTGAGCAGAGCCACCAGGGCCATCCTGTGTACGACTGTTACTACACATGCCAGTGGGTCACACACGCTCTTCCTCAAGCTGCGGCCTGGGCCACCACCTTCCTGGAGCCCACAAACTGGCCCGAACCACCCACAGGAAAACGGCTCCCGCCACGCTGCATGTCTGCCCCGACCCACCTGAGCGCGCACTGCACACCCGTCTCGTCCCCGTAGGCTGAGTACAGCAGCTCCGCCTCGTCGGACTTCAGGTCCCCGAACACCGAGTTGTTGTGTAGGGAGAGCGCAGTGCTGGCGCTGGACAGAAACGTGACTGGGAGAGGGGAGGCACACGTGAGGACACAGGTTGCACCCACAGACGCCTCCGCGCACAGCCAGCCACAGGCACATCCCCAGGGCTGCCCTTGCCGAGGGGACGCGTGGGGACTCGGGGCCGGAGGGCGGTGTCCTGGGCACAGAACGGGGAGCAACATAGCTGCCTGACCCACTAGATGCCGGGGAGCACCCCAGTGTGACAATCAAAGTGTCCCCAGACATGGCCAAACATCCCTGGGAAGAAGTGCTGTGCAGGCGAGCACACCAACACAAGACAGCCCGGCATCAGCACCCACGCAGCCAAGGCGCCCGTGCTGTCCACCCACTCTGGGGAGAGCCTCACGCTCCGGTCTCTCTCTGCTGCCGGCAGCGTCACAAGCCTCCAAGGGGATGAAATGTGATGGTTCGTCGAGGAAATGAAATTTCCACCACCATCTCGGAGGGCGGCCTCTATGCGCCAGGAGGAGACCCACCCACCCGAAGGGCTGGGGAGACGGCTTCTCATCCCGAGACTTCTGATGACCTACTTCTGCGGCCAGTTTCCCAGCCAGGACGTGGGGGCAACCCCGGTGGGCAGGCTGTGGTGCACACTCACCTCTGCTCCTCCGCTCCTCCCGGAAGCCCAGCGTGGTGATGCCCGGGACCAGCTTGCTGGACAGTGAGCTCAGGTCCACTGGGTGGGTCTCCTCTTCTGCAAGCGGACAGGGCCATGAGCACGTGGTCTCGGAGCCCCTGGCCCAGGGCAGTGCAGTGGGCAGGCGGGCAGCCTGGGGGCTCCCTGGGAAGCCCCTCTGAAGTCGGGCCTGCAGAAGCCGGCTGCCCCCTCAAACCCTAACCACACTGCAGTTTGACTCTGCAGTCAGTCAGCCCACAGTCCCAGGACACAGCAGAACCCTGCGCCCCCCATGTGCAGTCATAGCAACAGGGAGCCTCCACCTCGGACACCCGAGAGCACATTTCTGTGCTGTGGGTGCTGCTCGCGTGGGCTGAGTGGGACCCCTCAGTCCCCCAGGGGACCATCCCACGTTCTCCAAGCGTAGACCACCCATCTGCTCTTCTATCGAGAACGTCAGGATCCGTTCCAGCTAAATGTCAAAGTGGTCAGCACGCACCCTCCACACCCATCGAGAATGCAGAGTACACCCACTCATCTGGGTGGGGAACCCCCCCAACCCTGGGCATGGCCACCCTGTCCGCTGACCACATCCGTCTCCTGCCAAGGGGGCATGCAGGGGCGGGACACCAGACAGGCATGGGGCCAGGAAAGGGTCCCCCAGGCAGGCTACAGTCTCCAGGTCACGGGACATGACGGACGGGAGGATGTGCATGGGCACCCACCGTCAGCATCCGGCTCGGCTGTGTTGACAACGCTGTACAGCAGGCTCCCATCCCCGCTCTTCCTCAGGTAGCCCATCTGCGAGGAAGCACGCCTGAGTCCCGCCCCTGGGCAGCCCTAGGCTCCCGCGGCTGAGCAGAGGCCTGTGAGCATGGCCTGACTCAGGTAAATCCCGAACGGCCACAGGGTCACTCATTTCCCGCAAACAAGACCAACAGACGCCCCTCACACCTTCCCTGGATTTTAACTTAAGACTCACTTGCACTCATGTGCGATCAAACTCCTCGTGACCCCTCTGAGAGGAGCTCCTGAGACCCCAGAAACAGCCCGGACAGAACAAGTTAGCACGAGACACTGGTCAAGAGGCCCAGACACCCCACCTCCACAGCATGTGGGGACTTACTTCCATTTAACAACCAGCCACCAAACAAGACCAGCCCCTCCTGCACAGGCTCCCATCAGGAGGGCCCAGGAAGGGGAGGCACTGTGTGTGGGGTGTGGGGTGGCAGGTGTCCGAGTAGGAGCAGCGGCCTGGGAGGGGAACCAGGTCCCAAGCAAGGTGTGCAGGGCATGGGGGTGGGGGGAGACTGGTCACTGTTGATCAAATAAGTGCATTAAGGGTGACAGATGTCAGGTTTCTCACTGCAGAATTACAAAACTGAAAGAAAAGCAGAGCAGATCTAGAGCAGGTGCTGGACAACGTGGAGGCTACCGTGCAAAAGACAGTTGTGGGTGAATGTGAACATGCATGTGCCTGCCCAGCGCCCAGGCCTCTGTATCTGGTGCCACCCTCCACCGAGGACCCAGGGCTCCGTGGGGAAACACTGGTTCCAGGACTGAAGGGCAACAGGGGTGCAGAGCAGAGGGCCCAACAGAGAGAACTCTGACGCAAGCCACACGGGGGCCACAAACTTTCTAGCAGGCACGTCAGAAATCAAAAGAAACAGGTGCGGCTAAACTTCATGTGTTTTATACAACCTGCCACATCCAAACTACTGTTTTAAAATTTTTACGCACAACCCAGCGTGTACTTCACAGACTCAGCACAAAGAAAATACTGTGAAGCCCAGTAAGGTCTCCTGTGCACTGCATGTGAAATAAGACTTTAGATCCATCAGGTCAAATAAAACACACTAGGGTTAATTCCACCCGCGTCCTGGTTAACATGACCTCGAAGAAGTCTGAAACTGTACGTGCCGTGACTCACGCTACTTCTGTTGTAGGGGCCAATCAAGGACGTCCTCGTGTCAGAGGGCAAGTGCTCAAGGAATGGTGGGGCCTCCTTTTGAGGACCAGCAGCCTCTGGACAGGCTCACGGCTGTCACACCATGGTCGGGCCCGTAAGTGACCATGGTGGGGCAGAGACATGATACATAGGGAAAGGGGCTCAGCCTCTGCAGTGATGGGGTCAACACCTCTGCCAGCAGGCACACCACACTCTTCCTGCCCTTGAGGTCCCCCCGTGCTGTCTCCATCCCAAGATGGGCCAGGGAGGACAAGGGCACCCCTGGAACACGGGTCCAGCTCCGACCGGATACTTGTCAAGACCCGACAGTCACCTCTGGAAGGTGACGGCTGTGCCACCGTCCTGGCAGAAAGCCCACGGCCATGCGGGGGTGCTACCTTGCCCCCGGGGACGAGCCGGTTGATCCTGTCCCGGGCCTCGTCGGCCGCATGCTCCACCAAGGCCAGCACGTGCTCCTCCGCGGTGCTGTCGGTCAGGCTGCAAGCATTTCCTTCCGGCTCAAACACGCAGCTGTGAGGCAGGAATACCACCCAAGTCGCCGGGAGGCACACAGGCAGCTAACACCTCAGCCCCGGTCAGTCCCTAATGCCCACGCCAGGTCACACCAGAAGGCTGTGGGGGGCAGCGCCAAGCGCACTTTAAATTCCTTCCCATAACTTCTACCCACAGCAAACAAACGCTTTCATTAAGCTGAGTCAGCGTCCGCGTTTCTGATGAGGCACCTGCGCGCTTCCATCACTTTAAGAGCAAGAGGGAAAATGTGACTCGTCGGGAGCTTCTTGGGCTACAGCGTCACTCCAGTCACTCCAGGGGCCACCAGGAAACGCCACGCAGGGCTGAGGCCCTGAGGCAGTGGCAGTGGGCTGGGCCAGGGTGGGAGGAGGACCCGGGCGCCAGCCCTGAGGGAGGGCTGCAGGGGTGGGTGGAGTCCCTGCAAGGCGCCATGGGGCAAGGCCTCCATGGGGACCTGGAGCCTGTGGGAGGGCCACCCTCCTGCAGGTCCGGGCTTCACAGCAGCAGGAGCAGAGAGCTTGGGGCGGTATGCTGAGAGAAGCAACCTCCCCCCCATGATGCATGCTGGCTGCCAATGCGGCACGACTGTGTCCCTGGGACACCCCGCGCAGGTCCTGAACGGAGGGCACTTCCTGGGAGCAGAGGGCCAATGAGTACTCGTAAACAGCACACACATGGAACAGCAGTGAGGTCAGTGCGGGCACTGCGCAGGGCCGCCAGATGGGCTTGGCGCCCACACCTGGGACACAGCACACACGTGGTGGGGGCTGTCCCAGCCTTTGCCGCCTATGTCTCTCAGGGGACCCTTTCCAGGACAAGTGACGTGCGGGCTGCAGGATGGTGGTGCGCTGGCATGTGGAAAGGTCAACGCCCTGCACAACTGACCTCAGGGCCCAGGTCTCTTGACACCCCGGTGTTAACAGTGACATTCATCACCCACCCACCACGTCCCTCACTCTCGATCAAGATGGGCGGAGGAGCAAGGCCACTCTCCTCTGGGCACTGGGTCTGCGCTGCGTCCCAGCTGCCTGGCGAGTCCTGGGGCTGGCACAGAGACCCAGCTCCTGTGGAGGGCACGCTCCCACTAGGCTGCACGTGTGGCCCAACCGCCCATGAGCCACGGCAACACACGGGCGCACCTCCTCGCCCACAGCCCGCGGAGCAGTGGGCCCGGGCGGCCGGCCATTACCTGATGACTTCTCTGCTCGGCCTCTTAGATTTCTTGGCAGTTTCTACTTGCACAGGCACGACTTCGGGAACAGGCTCCTCGACGGCTGTGTCTTCGCTGCCCAGAAGAGCTGCCTGCTGAGAGAAATCCATGTCCTGCATAAACGACACGCTGCGCTTCAGAGCTAACAGCCGCTCCTAGAATCAGAAAGCACAGAGCAGCAGGGACTTTACCTCTCCCTCCAGCCGAGGCACCGTGACGATGGCATGGCATGGGGCTGGTCTCACCTGGCCTAACCGCTAGCCCTCCACGGTGGGGCAGCCCAAGGGGCAGAGCCGGCAGGGCAGGCACAGGCCGGAGGGCACGAGCTGCGCCTCACCTACAGGTTGCTCAGGCACAAAGCACTGCCCTGGCCACCTGACGCACGCAGCCCGGCTCACGGGAGAGATCGGGGAGGCTGCTGGGACGGCCAGGACAGCCATCTGGATTCAGAAAGCAGTGCACAAAGCAAACCTGCAGGGCAGGCTGTGGTCCAGGCAGACCAACAGGTTGGAGCCTCGCACCAACCCTACAGGAGACGGGGTGGTCAGGCCGCGTGCAGGAGCAGAAGAGGAGGTGCCTGGAGGAGAGGGCGGCTGGGAGGTCTACCCTAGTGTGGAAGGGCCCACGCCGTAGCCAGTGACACATGGATGAAAGTGTGTCATTTGCTGTGTTTCTGTTTTGGCCTAAAGAAGTGAGGAGGAGCCTGGCGGAGGCCCCTGGCCATCAGAAGGCATCTTACTTTGCTCATCATCTTAAAGCCGGCGTGGAGGATCTTCTTGGCTAGCTTGTAGTACACGGTGTCTGGTCTGTTGTACGTCATGGCGTTGTCACACATCAGCTTGAAATCGGCCTGAAGGAGAAGGAAAGAATCCGTCACGTCTGAAACATCACACAGGTGACAGCAAAGAGTTGAGACTCCTATCAAAAGAGGCTGAAATGGAGTGGAAAACAATCCGGCTCTTTGATTTAAAAAATAAACCTTTTAGAATTGAAGTACAGCTGACTTACAATACTGTATTTGCAAACAACGTGACCGACAAGGGTGTAATCTACAAAATATATAGCTTATATAACTCAATATCCAAAAGCAAACAACCCAATCCAAAAATGGGCAGACCTAAACACACATTTCCCCAAAGAAGACATCCAGGGGGCCAACAGGCACATGAAAAGACACTCAATATTGCTATTAGAGAAACACAAATCAAAACCACTATGAGGTGCCACCTCACTCCAGCCGGAATAGCCATCAACAAAAAGTCCACAAAGGATAAATTCTGAAGAGGGTGTGGGGAACAGGGACCCTCCTACACTGCTGATGGGAGTATAAACCGGGCAGCCACTGTGGAGGACAGTAGAGGTTCCCTAAAAAACTAAAACTAGACTTACCCTATGATCCAGCAATCCCACTCCTGGGCACATTATCTGGAGAAAATGAAAACTCGAATTTGAAAAGACACATGCACCCCAGTGTTCACAGCAGCACTATTTACAATAGCCCAGATGTGGAAGCAGCCTAAAAGTCCATCGACAGAAGGCTAGATGAAGAAGTTGTGGTGTATTTATATAATGGAATACCACTCAGCCATAAAAAAGAATGAAATAATGCCATTTGCAGCAACATGGATGGACCTGGAGATCATTATACTAAACGAAGTCACAGAAACACAAATACCATACGGTATCACTTACATGTGGAACCTAAAAAAATGATACAAGTCAACCTATTTACAAAGCAGAAACAGACTCACAGACAGAGAGAGCAAACTTATGGTTGGGGGGAAGGGGGAGGGATAAATCAGGAGTTCAGGATTGGCAGATACACACTACCATACATAAAACAAACAAGGGCTACTGTATAACACAGGGAACTGTATTCAGCATCATGTAATAACCTGTAATAAAAATTTGAAAAAAAAAACATATATATGCAAAAAATTGGATCACTTCGCCATACATGTGAAACTAACACAACACTTAAATCAACTATATTTCAATTTCAAAAAAACTGCAGGGTGGGAAGGGATAGACTGGGATTTCAAAATGTAGAACAGATAAACAAGATTATACTGTATAGCACAGGGAAATATATACAAGATCTTATGGTAGCTCACAGAGAAAAAAATGTGACAATGATTGTATATATGTTCATGTATAATTGAAAAATTGTGTTCTACACTGGAATTTAACACATTGTAAAATTATCACAAATCAATAAAAAATGTTAAAAAAACTGCATTTCAGGTACAGCAAAGTTACATATTATATACATACATATAAGTGATGTCACATAATACTTACCTTTCTCTGTCCGACTGACTTCACTTAATACGATAATTGCTAGGTCCATCCATGTTGCTGCAAATGGCAGCATTTCATTCTCTTTTATGGCTGAGTAATTAAAGAATAATTTTTAAAAACTTTTTCTGAAAAATTTTCATAAATGTTTATTGGTCTTTACTTGCATAAAAAGTATTCCAGTGAAAGTGTGCCACAGTCTGTACCTGGTGTTGACTGTGACACATGCCATGTCAGAGGAGTAAAGCGACAGGTCCCTCGCTTCCTTCCCAACAGCCTCCTCCCTCTCTTTGGGAGGAGCTCGGACTAACACAGGAGCGAGAGCAAACACCCGACTCTTCTAAGCAACAGGGGAGGAGAGGTGGGCATGCCCTCTACCACTGGGGTTTCTCCACAGAATTCAAAACTGTCTACAGATTGGTACCGTCAGAAACACACCTTCCCTGAAGTGAGGAGCATCTCAGTGAGCAACTTACACCTAAAGCACATTAAACGAGATACCTGTTTATCATGCTAGCCAAGTCACTTGGCACCCACCTGGCACAGGTGAGCTGGACATCAGGATGGACAATGACCACCAACACCAATCACACTGATGGAGCGGGTGCTACCTGGACCCTTTTCGGGTCGCTGTGCCAGTGTCCCCAGGGCTGGGACTGATGCCAGGAAGCCCCCCTCCGTTACAGGGCCCAACCGTGGTGGGTGCAGAACTCTCTTGAGAACGAGGTGGATGCTACTCGCGTCTTGGCTTTGTCACTGGGCAAGTGACCAAACCGGGGGCTCGCAGGCACGAAAGGCCGAGGACCGCAGGGCACGGACTACTGTTGACTGCCTGCCCGTGGTGGCGTTGCCAGTCGGCCTGTGAAGACTCCCTTTCTCTCTCACTTTGTCCTCAGTGTGCTGTGTTGCCCCGGCAGGTCAGCAAGCCCCCTCAGAAATGCCACCCATCAGTAAACCAGGAAGCCAAGCTTTTGCAGAGTTTACTGAACCAAAGAGAGAAAGCGAATGCCCTTCTAACTGATGCTGCCGTGTGCCGTCAAGCACTCATTTTGATTTTCCCGAGTTCCAAAGCCAACAAGCCATACCTTTCACAGCCGCTAACAAAAAAAGAGTTAAGAACATAGTACTCAGAAAATACAAAAATATGTTATTCTAAAAAAAATTAAACTCTCAGATATTACAAGACAAAACTAAGCATCACGAAAATTATGTTTCTATAAACACCCATTCTGGAGCCAGGCCACACGGAACGCGCCCCTGCTGGGCAGCATGTCCCTCGGCGCCGCACAGCAGCTTACAGGGCAGCGCGCCTGACGGGAGCGACATGCGGGCCAGGCCAGCTCCAGACCAAAACACAGAGAAGGCCACAGCCCGCCCACCTCCTTGACGCCGTGCTGGTGCAGCACATACAGACGCCTGAGACTGGGAAAGATCTAAGACGCAGGAAGCGTCCACTGGACGTGAACACACACGGAGCTTCCTCATGATGATTTCAGGAGCTGAAATTAACGCACCTTAAATTCCGTGACTGACTTGTACTCATTAGCTACAATTTTGTCTTTCATTGTGCCAAAATCCATCGGATGTTTTATTATCATCGAGTATCCAGGAGCAATGGCATCCGTGACAGGAAAAGCAAAAAAACCCATGAGGATCTTTCCTGAAAACAGAAAACATCTTTATTTACACTGGAAAACCACCAAAAAACAAAATCTCTCACAGTAAAACAATTGATACAACTGACCAAATTTTAAGGTTGTTCCTTAAAAATAACAAATGGAATTTACGTTTCTTAAAATTGTTTTTGGATACACTAAAAATTCCTGAACTACCATCCTTGGCTCCAGCCGTGACAGCTACATCAGGGCGTCTCTGACACCCCCGTGCTGACTCACGGCAGATGGAGCATGGAGGGGTGCTTGGGTCCCCCAGCTTTGCTCCCAACGGTACGTGCACCCCAGCGGTCTGGGCATCCCCAGGAGAGGTGAAGTGATGGGGGGCCAGCCCACCGCAGAGAGAAGACAGCCCAAACGTCCCTGCACAAGCTCTTTACCTCTGGAGCTGGCGCAGGAAATGCTCGAGCAGCTGCTGAATAGGCGTGCTCTCATTTTCAGCTGATAGTTCAAAAAGCAGAAAAAAACTGGATTAAAGGACTCCGTTATCACTTCACTAGAAAGTGACTTCCAATTCATGGTACTTATTTACCTACTTCCTGTTTCACGCTTTTTTAGGTTCAAATGAGAGTTGGGTATGAAGACGAGCAGATGCGGCCTTGGTTCCCACAAAGCTCGGCTGCACCCCCGGCACTGGTCCCCCAAACCCCTCAGGCTGCCAACATTCCTCAGAACCACCACAGGGAGCTACACTCATCAGCTTGTCCCCAGCCCCTCTCCCTCTTGGCACAGTCCAGACCAGGTAAGGAGGAGCAAGCAAAACCTGTGGACATAGAAGTTGACCCTGGATGCACCGATACCATTTCACTTGAGAGTTCTAAACTTCTGGTCAGGCCACTGTTCATCTGTAAAATGGGAATAAAGTACACCCCACAGAGAAGCTCCTGTGGAGACTCCTACTGTGAACTCCGCCCCTGGACCCACACTGTGAAAACATGGTTTTGGGGGATGTAAACAAAGAGGTCAGTACGGGCTTCCTTCTACAAAAGTATGTATGCGTGGTCTTTCTTGGCTCTGTCCACTGGGGTCCACACCCAGCACCCAGATCTCGGTTTCGTTGGGAAGGAACCAGGACTCCTTGGAGAAATACCTCATTCCAGGGCTAAAGTGCAACATGAGTGCAGACTAGCCGGTCCACAAGAGCGACCCCCTTGAGAGTGACCAGGATAGGTCCAAGAAAGCATCATGTGATCACTGGCTTTTCCGGAACACTGGCGAAACGCGAGACGTAGGGCCTCAAACAGGCAGGTAACCAGACTGAGCGCGTAATTACCTGTCACTGCAGTAACTTTGCAGGTGCGCTGCTCTGAGGAACAGCTGCTCTGTGTCTGACCTCTGCTCCACAATATGCCCAGGGGCCTGAGCGCCAACAGTTCATCACGGGAATGACTCCACATAGGGGTGGGGTGGCATCAGGAAACAACACTCTATGACTGCAATACCTCCCACCTCCCCCAGCAAATCAAAGAAAAGAAATGCCTGGAAAGCAAACCTGCCTCCGACCCAGGCCCTCCTGACCACCCAAGAGCACTGAGGGAAGTGACCAAACACAGGTCACGGGGTCCTGAGCGTTCCGGAAGCCTTCCTCTGCTGGGGGCAGTGCAGCTGCACGTTTCAGTGGCCTAAATAACTGACCTCAGCACTAACCTCCCCGTTACGATGAACTTCTTCTTAGCTCAGGGACTTAAAGAAAAGGCAGGACAGGGGTGAGCCAAGGCCAGCTCTAGAAGTTTAAAGAGCCTGAGGTCCAGCTGCTCTGTGTGAGGCCCCAGAAGAGAAGACCCTCCTCCTTCTGTCGAAGGAGAGGAAGCCGACTACTACATCACAGCGACTAGCTTAAAGCTCCAGGATCTGGAGGCACCAGCACTTGCCTGGCTGCGTCCGGCAGGCGCGGACTGGCCGATCGGGGGGCGGTTCCACCTCCACCTTCCTCCCAGGACCGAAATCATCCGCCTCTCCCTCCGTGTCACAGTGCTCCTTCTCCCGTTTCCGCTTCTTCTCCTCCTGTCAGGCAGGGTCAAGGCAGTGAGAGCAACCAAGCAGCTTTAAACACATCTCCTGTTTCTCAGGGGAGCCAAGAGAGAAAGCCCTCTTCCAGACTCCTCTTACTCCAGGGTCCCACCCTGACAAGCCCCCCCCGGGGGGGGGGGCTCAGGCGACGGCCGCTTCACCAACAGCCAGAACTGAAGCGACTGACTCTGTGTGGTGCGCGCTTGGCTACAGACAGAGCGCCCCCTTCCCGAGGCGGGGAAGCACCTGCGCCGCCCGTCCCCAGGCCTCTTGGGCGCCCTCCTTCACCTTTCGCTTCCTCCTTTCTTCGTCGTCAAGGTGCTTCTCCTTCTCAGACTTCTTCTTCTTCTTCTTCTTCTTCTCTCTGTGTCTCTCCCGCTCATGGTCCGACCTGTCATCGTAGTAACTGGAGTCGTGGCCTGACCCCGAGAGTTCCGTCACTTCGCTTCCTCCGACCTTGAGGACCAGCTTCAGGGGCTTCTCCAGGGGCTTGTCTGCGTAATCTGTAGGCAGAGGTGGTGCCTTCACCCTGTGTGCTTACGGTGCTTCAAGACACGTACTGCCCAGCCGGGAGCATGGCCGGTCCAAGGTGGGGGTCACGGGGAGAACACCAAGGCCCAGGAAGGGGGGACTGGCTGAACTAAGGTGGACCGCAGGGGAACGCCAGAACCATCGGGGAAGATGCCCGCAGAAAGGCAGTGGCAGGGCGCTCCTTCCCCTTCCCTTCCCTCCCCTCGGGCAGCCAGGGGGGAGGCCCTCCGTCTCTGTCAGGCAGGGCGCGCCAGACCGCTCTCCTGTCCCCCGGCTCCTGCCCTGCAGCCGCCCCCGTGCGGCGTCCCTGACGGGGGGCCGGGCGCGGCAGGACCAGGGCACAGGCGGGGAAACGGCGGGAGACCTCGGAACACGAGACGCTCGGCGCGCTGCTCCAGGACGCCGCGGGGAGCGGAGCGGCCGGGCGCTCGGGAGCCGCGTCCCCGGGACCCCCGCCGCCGCGAACGC